CTGGTGGTGGATAAGGGAACTAGTAGCAAACTTGACTAGTTGCAAACTTGAAAACGCGACTATCGTGTGCACTACCTTCTCATCCAATCATCACATATGTGAAACACATATTGAAATCACAAACAACCATTATATTTTGTGTTGGTGATCTGCATCGTCCAATGTCCAATGTATGCAAATTTCTGTGCTAGAAAGACGTGCGTCGACATGTGTTCCGTCAATAGCTCCGATTCAATCCTGGTATGAACGTATTAATCAATAATAAAATCATATGTGTGAAATTTTATCAACTAACATTTAAATATGGGAAGCACCTTAAGGAACGACATATAACGAGGGTCATTCGCAATATGTGTGGGAATGGACTGGAATGTTGGGTCCTCTGGTTTGACTATTTGACGGGCCAGACTCACCAGACTCATCAGTGCATTCAGCCCAGCTGAGAAATATCTACTTATGATTTCAGAGGAATGTTGAAACCGTTCCATAGCTCCTCTCATTGATTCGTTCTGGGACAAAATGTAGGTGTTATTGCCAACACCTCTCTAGATGTTGTTCTTGATGATCCTTGAAGTCTGTGGAGGGTCCGAAGTTCATTTAGGAGGTCAAGAAAAATGACTTTTGTCATACGAAACATATTTGCAAAACGTGTCGGGTGACCACGTAATAACTCTCCGATCCATCTATCTCCAATATTGCTGGACGTCATGCATGGATTTCGATCTACATATGCGTTGTAGTAATGGTATAACAACGTAAGGGTGAGAGTAACAATGCGAATTTGATTAATTTGTCCTTCCTCCATAATACAAAATCTGGAAGGAATGTAGAATTTTAAACCAGATAGCAAATAGTGATGTAATATCAGAAAACACATAAAAAAGGACAACTATACAAAGAGTACGTGCTTGTAAATTTGACTGCATGCAATAGAAATATGAAGAATGTTACATACATGCGACACATTTCATTGATATTTGCATATCTAAACATCAAAGTTTGATATGTAGCTAACATATTCAAGGATGAAAGAAATACAATACGCATAACAAGTTCATCACATAAATAGAAAATAAGACAGAAAGAGTCCATCAAACAAATAGTCAATGAAGTTACATGAATAGCATTCAATCTTTCATAAAAGAGCGTAAGTAAGGAAGACAAAATTATGGGTCTAAAGTCTCAAAGAACTGCCTCCGGGTAGAGTTCCCAGTAGAGTTCCCTGGCAACTTCACATACTTAACATACATATCCTGGTCTTCCTTAATTCCAGGATATGTGTTAAGGATCTTAACACACTCATGGATTGTGCTGTCCTTCGGAGTTTTTGAATTATTTTTAGAAATTTCAATCAATGTCTCAATAGAACCTCTAACAAATGCAAAGCCTTTTTTATTTTTTACAGGACGGGGGCGCTTTGTTCCACCAGTGGATTGGATATCCGTGATTGATTTGGCTGAGACCTTCTCCCGAGTCACCTATATGCTCGGTCTCTATATCCTCTGTTAGGTTTGCAACACCCTGCTCATTAGGGGTGGAAAAATGAGTTCCTGTTGCTACAACACCAGTAAACATGCTATCCAATTTCTCCTCCAAAGCTGGTTCAATTCCATTAAATTTGAATTTTTTGGCCACGGGCACAACCTGTAATTAAAAAAAACAATCCAATCAAAATTCCAAACATATGTCTGTAAAATTTAATTGAAATAGTGATATTCATACCGCTAACTTTTCTGCCCACCATTCCTCAGGTGCATCAATTGTTCGTTTGACTGGACATTCTAATCCAGTTGATCCCCTTTTAAGCTCTTTCCAAAGTTTTCAGTCCTTCTTTAATTGATCTCATTTATTCTTTAGTTTCATCCTATCATAATCTCTTCCTGTTATTTCCTTAAATTTATTAGTGATATTATGCCAACCTTCTTTATTAAAAAAAGGTGTGGGTCGATTTCCCAAATCGACTTCCCTCACGCATAGATTACAAAAAATATTAGTAGTCTTTTTATCCCACATAACCGATGAATCAGAGTCTTTAGATTTACTCATCTTTTACTGTCATATCAACGGATGGTTAGATGACATTATGATTGAAAATGAGACACTTAAGATATGGAATATGCATATGTAAAACAAAATTCAAAAAATATAATGAATTAAAATATATATCGGTCTATGGGTGAAACATAAATGTGTTTTTCATATAACCATCATTTATGAGACATTTTCTTTTTATTTTTCTCTATTATTATAGTACCACTGTATTTGATAATAACCAATTGAAATTTGGAACACAGAGCATATTAGAAATTCTAATTCAATGCTAGCAAAGACAACCCAAAGGACCATAAACCATAAAACATATTTTCTTCACCCAAATTTGTAATTCTAAACCAACAACCCAACTGACATCATCATAGCTTGTTAAAAAACATACTTGAAAAACCTGCTTCAACAACAATGTATTGAATCTACCATAATAAGATAGTCAATTTTCTTTCGTACAAGTAAAAACAGAGGTCTCATCGAAGCAAAAAATGCTGAGTTACATAAATAATAACACCTTCATTAAAGTAAACATGCTTATCACCATCTTAGTAATAGAATATTCATTAAACCAGTGCAAACTATTTGCATAAACATAACGTGGGAGCTCTAAAATAATTATCACCCAAACTTTCATTGTTGCAAAACCACATATACAAGAAATAACAATAATGCAAGGTTTTTTTACCCATTCAGTTGTGAACAAACATCAGCACAACAGAATTGTTTCTTTAACCAATTCTGTCATAATAATCTCATCTCAATCAAGTCCACTTGTTTAAATAATAAGCTCGGCTCAACTCGTCTACACCATAAACAAGTTGAGTAATAAAAAAGGGCAATAACATACCTACCACCAAATTATTATATATTTACATATCTAATTACAAAACCTTATTTTTTACATTTATACCATCCAAATCTCTCAAATCACATAAAAACTATAATTATATTTACTTTTAATAAAATAAAATACACCTTCTAATGCATAGGTAAGATGACATATATATAAAAACTGAAGTTTATGTAAATCTTCCTAATTAAAATAGAATGGTCCAAAAAACAGTACTGACTTCTAAGAAATTATATGACTTGTTGAAGAAAGTCAGAAAACATGGCTCAAAGAATATCAAAGATATGTAATACACTCCATTTTGCACAAACGAGCCGACAACAAAAGCTCCATTTTTTGTTCAATAAATGCAATACACTCCATTTTAGAAATAGTAGGCAATCCAATTTCAATTGTCATTTGCACTATGTCATTTGACTTTGTTGAACATCATTGTTATTGCAAAACACATACAATATTCTTCACATAAACACGATCATATTTATCCTATCCCATATCTTCTACATATTCATAGATAATAGT